AKATGATAATACYAGACCGCCATGAGYGTCACCAGYGCTGGGCCCGAAGAGAAGAAATGAATAGGTCGAGTTGCAGCTCCGCTTAGTACCGTACCAGTTACCGAGCCATAAGAATTAGGAGCARGYTGCAGTACGCTGCCCCGGTGTCATCCYTGTACCGAACCAACAAGTCACAATTACYGTACCAAAATSGCATAGCTGGYCAGAGCGGCATTCGCTAGTCCCGTTACCATACCAGCCCAACGCCGGACGCYGTAAAGTGCAGCARAAGTGYCGTGACCATACCGAACCAKTGTACCGTACCAAGATAATAATGTCGCGTGACCCGTCCCAAAATGGAATCGATAGCCGCARCGATCCCACCATGTTATAGCRACCCCGAAACTGGTACCGCTCAGCGCTCGAGAATTACACCCAAGTTATAACTAAAGTAATAATCAGTTGAATCGGGGAAAAATTACACGTGAATTTATAATTATCGGAAGTCCGTACAAACAKATGACATCATGGTGAATGAATAATTCCTAGTTAAAATCATCACAAATAAACGTCGTTAAAATTGATCAAATAATAAGCAATCATTCGTTCTCCTCTCTTTTATTATTTTTAATTATTTTCCTCCTTCTTAATTCTATTATCGGAAATAATGACTAATTAGGGCGACCCCGTTAAAATTAAATACCGAGGAAATTTAATAGAATAAGGAAACCGTTTTCTCTTCCCATCTATTGTTTTCAACTTTTTCTTCCATTTTTAATTTCGATATTAAGATTAAGGAAATTCGAGGTATCATTCCCGCACCAATAATGCAAGATAAAAGGGTCGTGCCAAGGCTTACTCCCGTATTCCCATCCTGCGGCTAGCTGCTTCGGGAATAGACTCGGAACAATCGGAAGAGAGGTGGGGCACAACGTGGTAGAAGCGGTAACTCCCCTCGTTAATTTGAGGGTTACTCTCAGTGGTCAGCACACCCAAAATTGGGGGTGCTCTGGGTACCCCTAATTTTCCCCGTCAGGTTAAACAAGAGTACCGTCAAAATACGGTCTAGTCATCGGGTCGAGGACACAACACCGCTGACGTAGGGTGGCCCACTGCCTGTGGCCGCCCGACAGATAGTCCGGACCTCTTCTCGACGCCCCCGTCGAGCCCTAGCAACTTACGTAAGACGAAGCGGACGAGGTTAAGGGTGATGGCCCGTAAAGGACGCCCTCCTCGACGTTCAATTGTCTTATGTTTCAGTTTGTTATGAGTCCTGGGGCTAAGAAGATGCTTTTTGTCTCTCCTGTTTCTTCTGGTTTTTGGCCCCGGCACGATCCTCTTTTTCTTTTGTCTTTGCCCCGAGAAGGGTGCCGACCTGCCAGTACGTCTAACGCGAACTCTCCGTCTAGCTCGCTTGAGCACAAATAACCATCTATTCTCTCTTCCTAAAGCTAACCCTTTGACCTTTCTCTTCTCTATTCTTTTCCTTTTCTTGGAACTCTCCCCTGCCTCGAATCGCCTCAAGGGGGCTCCATCCTCCATTATGGTTTTTCCTTTCCCTTTCGGGCTGGTCAGTGATAAGGCGGGCGCGGGCCTGGGCCTAAACAACTTTAACCTAGCACCCGCCACTGGGTCCTTCGACTTGGATCCGTCTAATTCTGCTATCATATATGCACGCCAGTCGAGTGCCTCAACCACTCTGTAAGGTCCCATCCATCTGTTGGCGAGTTTTCCAGTCCAGGTTCTTTCCAGCGCTGCATCGTAGAGAAGGACCATATCTCCTACACTCACCCTCTCCTTCCTGATCCGCACGTTTTTATCCCATCTCTCTTTAACCTTGTCCCTTTCCACTGCCAGACGATCTGCCGCTGTCATGAGGTTATCTTCCAAACCGTAGCCTATCTGTCTTGTTCGGGTAGCTATGAGTTCCTCTCTGGACATCTCCTCCGCCCAGTCGACGGTTGTCCAACTGTCGACGTGAAACTCTATGGGAAGCGGACAATGTCGCCCAAACCACAAGGTGTACGGTGGGTATCCGGTACTAGCCTGGACCGTGACGTTGTCCGCCCATATTGCGTATCGTAAATATCGTGGTCAATCACTGTCCTTACCCTTGCACCACTTGGACAGTGACGCTATCAGAGTCTGGTGTCCCCTCTCTACTGGGGAGTTCGACTGTGGGTGATAGGCGGTGGCTATCGAAACTCTCGCCCCGGCTCTCCTGAACACGCTCTGAACCTCGTCGGGTTGGAATTCCGCCCCTCTGTCCATTACTATCTTGCTGACACAACCATATCTAGATAAGTACTCTAGGACAAAGTTTTTTACTTCCTTTGCCGCCTTACTCCTTACAGGTCTACCGTCCACGAACCCAGTGAAATCGTCTCGTATGTTCACGACGTAGTTCATATTGCCTACCCCTTTCGGCATTTTAACTAGATCGATGTGTACCTTCTCCCCTGGTCTGGTCGGATAGGATGGATGAAGTGGCTTTTTGTATTTCACAAGAGCTCTCTTCTGGCACTCTTCGAAGGTCCTACAATACCTCTCGACGTCCTTATACTGTCCTTTCCACCAGTACAACCTGCGTACCTTTTCGTAGGTTCCTTTGACTCCCCTGTGTCCTCCGACTACCCCGTCGTGAAGCTCCGCAACTATTGTCTGTCTCTCCTCAGGGTCACAGACTACTCGTAAGGGCATCCCCGAGCCGCTCGGCCTTCGAAACAGATGGCCATCTCTAAGGCAGTACTGGGCCGCTTGTCTCTGGATATCTGATTCTTGACTCTCCTTTCCTGACAAATTTAGCCCGATCATTCGGTATTTGCCCTCGTAAAGGTTAACCAGAAAACGCTCGGTGGATCCTGGCTCCGCCATAGTCAGGGCCCCAACTACTATCGGGCGCTCGGCCTCAAGAGGGATGCGCGAAAGTCCATCTGCTACGGCATTTTTGGTGCCAGATATCCTCTCCACCGTGTAATCGTATAGCCGAATCCGTATTAACCATCGGGAGATGGTCGGGTCCGTCAGACTAAAGTCCTTTTGGAGGACAGAGGCAACCGCGGTGGGGTCTACTCTCAAGATGAACCGTCGCCCATAGATATAGTGTCTGAACGTGTGTAGACACCGGAGAACGGCTAACACTTCCTTCTTGAATTGACTGTAGTTACGCTCAGCCGTATTAAGTGTCCTACTCTCAAATCTTAACGGTCTTTCCTTCCCTCCAGCGTCCTTCTGAGACAACAAACCTCCTACTGAACATGGTCCAGCATCCGTGGATACTATGAAGGGTCTCTCGGTCTCATCGTCGAAGAATGGCACGCCCAACACACGTCCTCCCTCCTTAAATTCGTCTTTAAGTTCTTGCATAGCGAGTTTCTGCGAAGAATCCTAATAGAATTTTTCAGTCTTTCGAAGGAGTAACCTCAATGACTCAGCCTTCTCCGCATACCCCCGTATGAATATAAGCCAGTAACCAACCACTCCTAGAAACTGCCGGACCTCGGTTGGGCTATGTAACGATGACGGCCAGTTCAGAAGTTTGTCTAACTTCGCCGGATCTGCTCGGCGTCCTCTCGAGTCACAGATAAAGCCCAAGATCTTAATAGTCGAGACGGCCCATCGGCTCTTTGTTCCGCTGACTGTTAAATTCGCATCGTCCARCTGCTCGAGKACCGCGCAAATATCTGTTAGGTGCTGCTCGACGAATCTYCTAACTCCAGGTACAACCTCTGTCTCATCCCTGTCTACTGGCCCTTTWATAGGAAAGTCATCCAGAAAAACTTCAACCTTATCAGGGATGAAGTCCTTGAGGACGGCTACCATGGCTCTCTGAAAAACGGCTACCCCATTAGTCCAACCCATAGGGACAACCATCATCTGTATTAGTCCCAAWGGCGTATGCATAGCCGTGAGGTGCCTGTCTCTAGGGTCAAGTGGCACCTCATCATAGCCTGAGAACAGATCACAGACCGAATAAATCGACCTACCTGCGGCGCCTTCTGCMWRTAAATCGGCGTGTGGCACGGAGCCCACGTCTCGTATCGTCACCGCGTTAACCTTTTGAAGGTCCTGGATCCATCGGATCTTGCCATTCGGCTTTCGTAGGAAGAACCATCGATTAGCATAAGCGCTATCAGACGGCTCCGCAACATGGGAAACCATCTTTTCTTTCAGGAAAGCGATAACTTCTTCCTTCTCCTTCTGGGCGTATTTCCATCCCGCGTCATTCCAGGGAACATGTGATATCGTGTAAATCCTTGCTGGCTTAGCGTATCGAGGGTCAACCCTGCCGCGCTCCGCGTCACTAAAAGCTATGGCCTTATCATATGTCTTCAGGATTTCTATCACACGTTCTCGCTCCTGTGGGTTCAAATTCCCATCTCCGATGTTAATCCCTACTATCCTCTCTTCCGTTAGGCGTTGCGACTCGTTTCTCTTTCTTTCGTTGATTTCTTTCGCGATCTCTTCTTCCGATATCCCTTCCAGTGCAAATCGCTCGCGGCCTACCGCCGCTGGCTTAACTTTTTGAGCTACTCGCTTGTGTCGCTTAGGTAGCCCCCCATAAGGGGCCGTGCCCTTAAAAAAGACACGGATACCACACCGCCAAATTCCTCATCTTTTTCCTTTGGGTACGAGTTGTCGTCCACTATTAGCGGACTCCCTAAATCTTCCACCTCCACGATCCGACCTTCTTCCTCTGTGAGCAGTGGTCCATATTTTTTCTCGCGAAATCGCACCGCGCGCCCGGAGATAGGCAACGACTTAATCTGATCACTGGGTCTCGCACCCACAGCGAGAGTTGCTCTGTTCCTCGGGTGCCGAGGCTCCACTGTCTCAATCATTACCCGCGTCCCGTCTGGGTTCTTAATGGACAATGTTTGGCTCCCATCAGGTCGCTCTATCGTCACCGCATGCACGTGGCTCAGCCACGTTCGACCCAAGAGCAGGTCGGAGCTGCAGTTCTTGACTGCAAAGACAGGCAGGGTCACTCGTACCCCTTGGACCTCTATGGCTGCCATGTGACAAACCCCAGTGATTTGTTGCTTTCTCCCATCAGCCGTCTCTATCTCGAATAGGTACGACCTGTCGAGGCCTAGTCCAAGCTGTAATGCCAGGTCCTTGTCTATGATGACAGCCTCACTGCCGTTATCGATCACAGCATCGAGTACCGCTCCATCGTTTATAATTGTCTCCACGACCCCGCTACCAAGTATATAAAACTTGTCTGGAGGCACACCTTCCATTCCATCGAGAAGGACTGTCGCCATGCGATCCGCTCAGGCAGTCACCCCCGTTACTGCTACTGTAGAAGCTTCCGCCTTAGGGGCCCCCTGACCCTTCTCCCATAGGGGTATGCGAGTCTTCCACGTGATCATCTGTAACTCATCACGAGCCGGCTTCGATGCCGCCAGGTACTCCAGAATAGAGCACTGCATGGGCTGCCGAAGGGCCCGCCTCAGTGGCTCGACCGTGTCAATCTCGTCCAACGAACTCTTCATTAAGAACTTCTTCACTCCCCGCTTCTGCGGCGAAAGGATAACCTCCTCTATATCGACCCGCTGCCCGTCCTTCTCCGCCATCACGTAATCCGTGTCAGTCTTCTTCGATGTAAACGCTCTCGCCGACTTGGTGGCTGCCACCCTTATGGGTGTGGTCGCGATATCCCCCTCAAAGGTTATCTTGATGCTCTGGCTCCTGACCGGCTCCATTCCCTTACTCGGCTTTACTCTCCTTGCTTCGACATTCTCCTTCATCGAAAGGAACATCGATACATCTCCCAGATCATCTGCCCACTTGACGTACTTGCAAACGTCAAGCACAACAAGTCCCTCATCTATTGCCCGTTTGAGGTCCGGGCAATCCCTCTTGATATGATCTTCTCCTCTACAGTAAACGCATGAGTTCCTGGGAGTAGATGGCCTATCGTCTGCGCTTCTAGAGATCGAACTCCTGGCTGCCTTGGGGTCAGGCAACTTGGGATATGGTTCTGATGAGACGCCATATCCCCCTCTCTCATTCCGACCGCGCGAATCGTTGCGGCGGTCTCTTCCAGACCCTCCTTGCTCATACTGCCTTCGCGAATTATTCCGGCGGTCCCCTTAGTCATATCGCCTTCGTGACTCATCGCGTCGGTCCCCTCGGTTGTACCACCCGCGCGATTCGTCCCGCTGCTCTCTCGCATCTCCCCCGCGCTCAAACCGTCCGCGCGACTCATCTCGTCGTTCCCAGTCCCGATCTCCTCTTTCATACCTATCATCTTTGTAGCCATCTCGACCCGACCTCTCGTATCTGTCGTCCCTATATTCGTCTCGGTCCGATCTCTCGTATCTGTCGTCCCTATATCCATCTCGGTCCGATCTCTCGTATCTGTCGTCACTATATCCATCTAGTCGGCCCTGATCTGTCTCCCATCGGTCGCGGGAGTCGCCTCTACACCGATCGGCCTCATAGCGAGGGCTTCGCGGGTAATCATCCAGCCTCCTTGCTCGCGCAAACGGCTCGCGATCTCTGCGGTCCCGGTATATCTCATCATCCCTACGTCGCGATGGTTCATCGTCTCTCTCTCTTCCCCTCGTACGATAATCAGTCAGCGTCCGAGGATTTCTATCCTCGACACTCCTCCAGGAATCGTTGTTCCTACGGTCCCAGCGAAGTGAATAGGGCCCTCCAGGTTTGTCCCGTTAGGCCGTGACCCCTGTAGTGGACACAATCTCTGTAACCTGTCCCGTCAATCCCTTCACCATGTCCCGTATCTCCTTCACTTCCTCAGCCACGGCCTCATTCTTCTCCGACAAGGGATAGTTCTTGAAATCAGGACATCTATCTGTGGCATACTCCTTGTAGAGAGAGAAGTCACATCTCCTCATCCCTCTCCACACCAAGTCCTTGTAATCGTCTGCCTCTGCCTTTATCGCGAGCTTTAGGACTTCTGGGAAATCAAGCCTGTCGCGCGGAAGATCTCTTAGTATACTCTTCTGCCTGCCTTTGGACAAGTGTCCGATGAAGATAGTACCACGCTCGACCTCTGAGATCTTCCCCTTCTTCATCAGCACGTCGGAGATCTTCTGGAAACGCATCCCAAATGCCCGTACGCTCTCA